AAATTATCTTTAAATATTCCCTTCTGATTAATTCATTGAGCAAAACAGTATTGTGCCTTTTTGGAACATGAACAGTACAGCTAAAGAAAAACAGAGTGCATTTATGCTTGTCTAATTTTTTCTCAGCTAGTTAAAAAACGGAGACCAATATAGATACATATAGCCTCAAACTACAGCTCTCGGTTCCTGAAGACACAGAAGCCAAAATTATGCCAGTTGTAATATTATATATACTAGCACATGATAAAGTGGAGCGTATGCCTCATGATATATATTTAAGAGGTTTATTCCTTTGGTCTCTCTTGCATTAATCGATTACTCTGTTCTTTAGTGAAATATAAATGGTAAAATGCAAGACTGTGATCCCATATACTTAAGCAGCTGAGTGTTTTAGGTCCTTGTTTAAGACTTGTTCGGGTCCCGCGTGATTATGATACACAGTTTGAACTGACAGCAACATAGACAAAACAAACACATACCAGTGCTAGTGAGTTGGTTCATACCACCAGTATGGTTTATTTGTATGTACTTGACAATATCAGCTTCAAACTCGAAGGGCTGGAAGTATAGAAAGAGTCATCAATACAATATATTTTCCGTTACCATGGCTAAATTAAAGAACTTGTAATATTTATAAGCCAGCATGATGGTATATTTCTACTGTAGCATTAAGGTAAAGAGGTTTTTCAGAGGGGTAAACTAAACATAGGACCCAACTTCCAAGTCAGGTCAGAGTTGGTAGTCTAACTCCTCCTGTTTGTCCTTTTTTTCTTAAATCTCTTCAAATTTAATTTCTGGTTTAAGGTTTGGGACTGACTGTGCCTGCATTTAAATGAGCTTAGTTCTCATGATCATGTAGATAAATTCAAATCCTGAAGAGAAAGTACTGAGTAACCTTGATGTTTACAGAAATAGAAGTATGTAAATGTAGCTTTAATTTTTCCCCCTGCCCCATTAGAAGTTTAAATTTTATTTCAGATTCCTCAGTTGAAAATGTTGGTGTTCACAGAGTAACTGCTAGTCCCATGTGGGAAAAAAGCACGGAGCTGAGATTTTGAAATAAAGCAATTATACTTTCACTTTGATTTTAAATCGGTTTTCTTCAAGGAACAGAAAAAAACAATTTATATGGTAATGAAAAATTTGAAAATGCCATTCAGAACCATATTTTATATTTTCCTCTGTAAAAACTGATCATCAAAAGTATCTAAAATGTTTGCACATAAATTCTAATTAGCTCTACTTACAGCATTTTGGTAAATGAGTGTTTATGGAAGTACATCGTGTAAAACCACTATAAATCATGTCCACATACTTGAAGACTGTGTATTTCCTAGGGTGCTGAAGTCTGTGTTTTTCAAAGAAAAAAATAACACAGTCAGTGCTGATGTTTAGTGTAACTGATTAGTTTTCAGTATATCACTTTAGCTATTAATTTAAAAGCAAATCAAAAAGCTTTGCCATAGCACTGTCCTTCAGAGAATTATCTACTTGCTTGGTTAGAAACAACTCTTTTTGCATTGAGAGGCTGGAATAAGTACAAGAAGCTTGGAATGAGGAAAGCTGAATTACTTTCCTGATTATCTCAGAAATAATTTGCCATATCTAAGGTCTCAGAGAAGGAAGGTATTGGCAACTGTAATCTTTGGTTTAGGGCACAGAGAAGATGAGAGAAATTTTACTGTTGAAGAAGGATGGTTTGAAAACTCTAAGTGTAAAGTAAACTGTAAGAGTTTAGACCGCTTATGAACTTGGGTTGTGGCAAAGGTTTGTCCTCTTTAATGTTACCCAGTTTCATGGAGCCAAAGGCAAAAATGCATCTTTGGAGAGCGGAGAGTGAGCAAGTTCCTTAAAAAAAGCAAAGCTCACCGTTTATGCTGTACTGGATACAAATTATTTGTGGTATCAAGTAAAATTGAATTACACAACGGCAAAAAGTAACTCATCTTTTAATCAGTTTTCGGCAACAACTCTAACACATGAAGCAAAGACAGCTTTTAATTTTTTGATGAATCATTTAGCAGTGTATGCTGCCTGCCTGCTGCTAATATCTGTGAAAATACCGTAGCTCATGCATCATAGGTATTAATTGCTACACTTGGTAGCAGTGGAAGAGGAAATGGTATTTGGATTAATAGCTCAAGAAAACCTGTTGAATTTCCCATCTCTGCACTTCATTTCCCCATCTTCTCGGATGAGGTGGTACAGCTGAGGATCAAATGAGGTGGCTTTTTTCTGTAAGGACAAGTGATGAGGATATGGAGAGGCATGGGAGGAGCAACTGGCCCACCAGCAGGAGCGATGGGACCATTTCCCAGGCATTGAAGCTGGTTTAAAAATGTACCTTTGCCCCGAAGCAGGGGTGAAGGAACCCTACTCTGAGCCCTCCACAGAGAACAGGCGGTGGTGGACGGTGGTGGTGACACTGCGAAAGGGATGACAGCAGCGAGAATTTTCCTAGACTGGACCGGCAACACACTTCCCGCAGAGAACAATCATGAAATAGTAACCCAGCGCATTTTTCCGCTCTGTTTAATCTTCATTTAGGTCATAAACTGTTTGCACAATAGACCATTTCTCTCTGCGATGAAATAATTACCATTTAGGTCTCACCAATAGCAGTAGGGTTGGCTGTGCAGGCTGGAAGGAAGGATGTCCCTCCGCTGCCCTGCACTGTCACGGCCAGCCTCATGGGAGATGACAGGTCAGGCAGGAGGCAAGTCCCTGGCCACAACACTGGGCTGTAGTGCTTCAGGCTTGCTCTTTTTAATATGTTACCCTGTGGTTTCCTGAACGCTTGTTCAAGTGCATCTTCATGTGTATAAATGACTTCAGTTTCCAAAGAACCGATTCCTTGTTATCACTGGTATCAGTTATTTGATGGGCGATTACCTTTGCTTTTGCACATGCAAAACAAATCTCTGCTGCTATTTCTGTGAGCGAGGTACCTATAGGAAATTTCAGATTAAATCTGTGAACAGTTCCCATCCTGATAACACTTAACAGTGCAAAATGAAATAAATCAGACTTTATAGCAGAACTAGTATTTTGATGGAAGCCTAGAAGGCGCTTAATGTGTGGGTAGAGGTCAGCCCTAGTCAACATTAACTAAGAAAGATTGAGTTGTTGAGACCTTTGTGTTTTTTGAAATGACATTTCCCGTCAGCAAAAATTCTCGTGATTATACCTGTCTCTTTAATGTCAAGAGTCACTATTCATTTTTAATTGACATGTGGCAGCTCTTCCAAGGCTGTGCAAAGTTAGCTTTGTGTGAAGATTTGACTGTATAATTCGATGGCAGGGCTGGACTTGATTTTAAAATAAATCAGGAGAAACACTTGTATACTAAATGTGCTCTATAATTAATCATATGGTAGTATACAATTAATTGTAATTATTGTGTTGTACAATTAAATATACTTATTTTGTTTTTTCTTAAAGTAAAAAAAAAATAGTATTCCTTTACCGCCTGCTATTCCTTTACCCCTAATTGCCCGGTACAGAATTGCGATATTTGTAGCACATCCTTGATGGTTGCATATACTTGGATCTGTTTCTCTTAGACCAAATGTATGCTCCCTAAAATTTATTCTTGGCATTATTTATAGATACGATATGTGAATATGTTAAACACATGTAAAATTATATCTATATTATATATTTAAGGAAATGTAGGTATACACTGACTGACAATGACAATTGGACATAAAATCTATTTATAAATAGCAGTGCTCCTGAAGAGAGTGAAGTGATGGATCAGGACAGACTTTGAAAAGCGGGATTGTTTGTAGCCAACATCTGAGAGGTGACGAGTGTGCGGGGGATTTTCAGTGCTAATGCACTGATATTTCTTCATACCTTTCAACCCTTAGGGATCTGCCTTCCACCAAATTCAAATATATGCAGAGAATTTAGAAGCCTCTAGTTGAACGTACCAGTTTGTCTGCCAATGCATTGTGTGGGATGAAAGCAAATGAGGGGCGTATTGGTGTTTAACGTTATGTAGATCTGAAACAACTTATGCAGCATGTTGAAAGATAAAGCTGTTTTTGTCTGTTTGGAACATTATTGGTAAAGGGCTATACGTTTACATGTGTAATTGACTGAATTCCAAATCACCAGCAGAATTTGCTTTGTCTTCCTTTAATTAGTGTGGTTTGGTTCTTCCCTCAGGTTTTCATGTGTTGCAGGATATAGGCAGAGACTGTGGCAGCTCACAATGAACACAAACACAAACCATTTTTGTTTTTTTCCTGTATATATTCACTGGGGATGAGATTTCCTCCCATGGATGGGCTAAAGCAATGGCAGTAATTTTATATATGTGAGCCCTCGAACTATGAATTAAAAACCTTGTGCCGGGCGGCTTGCAAGAGGGGGTTTCTTTGGCAGTGATTGTATATAAATAGGAGTCTGAAGAGAATTTGTTTTCCTCTGTAACTCATAAATATTTTGGTTTTGTTTCTTCTTTTGTGTAAGCTAGGAAACCTTCTCAATTTGGGCAGGGAGCGGGTATATAGCTAAAAAATCAACAAGAAAAAATGTGGTTCCTTCTGCTTTCAGATGTTCCCCTTCCAGACAGGTACCGAGTGGGCTGCTTGGGCAGGAATCTGCCTGGGGCCATCGGCAGACCCCGTGGACAGCCAGTGGTTGTACCCCTCTGGCCTGGAAGCAGATGAAACTTCACACTTGTACCATTGCCACCATGCTGGAGCTTGTTTAAGGGCAAAACCCCTCAGTGTGTGCAGATAAAGTAGCTAAAAACATAAAAGTATAGGCAGCGTGAGGAGACTTATGGCACAAATCTGAGTCAGCTGAAAATTTATCTTCATTGGCTCCGGGGTGGTTTTCTGGGGAAGGGTGTCTCATTCCCTGAAACACCTCCTTGGTGCATCTCCTTCCTTGCTCGCCTGTGCGGACATTGAGAGGCACCTAATTAAGAAACCGAGACAATACCATTTTCACGCTAAATGTGGTTCCTCCGGGTCTCCTGTGACTAGAGGTGTGCTCTGAGCAAGCCGAGACTGGTCCCTGCCGCGCGATGATCTCCCGCTGGTACTTTGACGTGGCCGAAGGAAAGTGCGCGCCCTTCTTTTACGGCGGCTGCGGCGGGAACCGGAACAACTTTGACTCGGAGGAGTACTGCATGGCGGTCTGTGGCAGCGTCAGTAAGTGCCCCTCCACGCCTCCCCCGCTCCCGCCGCTCGGGAGCGGGCCTGGGCTCACACTAACCCCCGGCCGCGGTCTGTCCAAAGCCTCTGCTCACCGCTAGATCCTCATTAGCCTCTCGCTAACCCGGCATGGTAGTGGGCGACTTCTTGGTGCTGTAGACGGGTCTCTGCAAGTAGGTAGCTAAAAGCCTAACACTTCCTTAGACGAGGCCTTTGCACTCACCTTCTCTTAATTTTCTGTCAGAACGTACTGACATTTTGTGTGTCTCTGTGTGTGCATGTACAATGCATGTGAAGGAAAAAACACAAACTTCAGGGAAGCCTCAGGTAAGTTTAAAAATAGCTCGTAGTTTTTACAGTGTATTTTCAAGCATTATTTCTGACCTTTTTTAATCAAAGCAATATAAGCTCATTAAAATAACAGAATGTTTATTTCCAGATTTTTTTTTCTTTTTGTTTGTTTGTTTTTAGTTTGATTGAGTACTTTGTGTGTGTTTGCAACGAAAAGGGGAGAAATGACTTTTGATTTTTTTAGGTTTCCCTGAGGGCTGCAATGCACGTGGATGTGAATCACCTCCCACTTTCTTTGTTTAACACACCATATATTTTAATGATCATTTTCCCTAAATTGGTTTGAGAAGGGTCGCTTTCTCCATCACAGGGTATTGAAGCTTATGAATCAGACACTGGATTTATCAGCCGGGTTTTGCTCTGGGAGCCTCTGGTACACTCCACTCCCATCTGCCTTGCCAGCACATACTCTTGGGAGAGTATTGGCTGCCATTTACATCTGACACTTTAAAGAGTGAGTACGTATCTCACTGCCCTGCCTGCTCACAGGGCATGGAGGAGCAGAACAGAAGCAGCATGTTAGGGCTCCTTTTAGTAACATATTTTCCAAACTGCACCTAGGAATGTTTGCAGTAAGTAGAAGGCTTAAAAGTGCACACAAACACATGCAGAGCCCTAGCAAGGTGTGCTACGTGTGTTGTGGGGCAGAGGAGCTGACCTGTATTTTATTGGAGCAAGAGCAAGAGCAGTTGTGGAGGCAGGATTGCTGCTCTGGTGCTCCAGCTGCATTTCACCTCAGTGTCTTTTAGAGCTGTTCATGGCAAAGCTCCATGGAGGGACATGGAGAAAGTCTACCACGAGGCGAGTGAGGAGGATACCTCATGGACAGTGATCAGCTTCTGCAACAAGACATAAGATGTAGTGAAGAGAGAGAACAACTATGCAGTAGATTGGAGTGAGGTCTATAATATACTTGCTAAAAAAATTAAAATTTGAACCATTAGGTTCCTGTGTTAGGGAAGACGTTTCCAGAGATGCAAAACATGGTTTGCCTCTGATCGTGTGCCCTACGACAGGCAAGAAAAACTGGGACTTTGTAGTGAGGTAAATTAGGACAGTAGTAGAAAAAAAGAGAATTTTAAAGAGAAATATTTATGCAATGAAAAATGCACGGTATGTGATATTGACGAGCAGTTGATATTGTAGACATGGAGGGAGGAAGGAAAAGTAAACTGAAGATAACTGGCTCATGCAGATTAGAGGCATAGAAAAAACACTGCGGTGAGAGAGATGTTGAACAGTAAGCCTCAAAAAGCCTCTTGAATTCTTGTACATTTAGTTTCAGGTAGCCAAGATGAGTCTGTGTTTATTCTTTACTGTTAATGGCCAACAGAGAATTTGTAAAGGACAATTACTTTTTTCAGTCATACATGGGTGAGTATCATGTGTAAGTGGTGATTAGATCCCAGACAAGATGATGGCCATCAAAACTAATAATGGAAAACAGTTGAGAAACTGAACCTTTTGCTACTTTGCATCTGGAAGTAGTCTCAGTTAGCAATGGAAGAATGACAGGACTTAATATGATTTACCTGCATAGATCTTTGGATACTTCAGGCGTTTGCCTTGGTCTATATGAGGCAAATGAAAGTCACCTACCTCTGATAGTTTCATGTCCAACAAGGTAGGATTAAATGAAGGATAGCTATTGGCCTTTTGTGCTGAGCATTTTACTTTTATGGTCAGTATAAGAATTTCTAAGAGCTGCATATGCTGGTGCTTGTTGGAAAAAGTCATCCTTTTCACATACCTGGTAGGAATTAAGAATTATTACTGCCTTTGTCAGCATTACTAAAAAATCTATAATATTTTTGTGAAGACTGGACAACAGCATAAATAAGGACTTGTAGTAGATCTTGACTCTGGCAAGATTGCAGTTTTGTTAAACATTCAGTTTTTACAGCTTGCTTTTGGCTCCTGCCCTTCAAGCTGAGCCATATGGATGCATTTCTTTGTCCAAGTTCTGCAGTGGGACTATGTGCAGACTCAAAGATCTCGGAAGATTGTGCATCTTGCACGAACGTGCATCAGCTGTAGTTACTCACCCAGCACTTCAAATCTGAGAGTTTCATTTCTGGCTTTCATAATGCTGCGAAATTATTACACAGAGGGAAGGGTGTTGCTGACTAAAAGAGCAGTCACATCGCAGAACAGACTTAATGAGAATTATTCTGACACAGTAAAACTTGGAGGGATGAGATTCTGATTTGTCACTTTGATAATGCAGTGGTGTTGCCTTTCATATACGGGTTGTAGGTAAAATCATAGCACCGACTGCTCGTAATAGGAACCCAGCAGAGTTTACTGTATTGCACTTCCAATCAACCTAGTGATCTTTTTGCAGGAAATCTTCTGCTACAAGGGGTGACCTTGGCCATGATCTTAAAAAGAATATTATGGATTGAATGAAACTTGGAAATTAGATTGTCTTCCTTCTTCAAATTTGTCTCTTGGCAGCAGAAGTTGTTCAGCTCGTGCTGTTTGGGAGGATAAATGATCTTCTCTTCTAAGACTGGCAATTCTCTCACAGCATGTGGAATTAGAAATGAAATAAGAAACAACTTCTAAATTTGCTATATATCATACTCATTAGGATATTCAGATAAGCCCAGGAGATTCCTCTATCTCATGGAAGTTGTTTCTGGTTTTTTTTTTTTTTTCCTCAGGTTCAGTTCAATAAAACAATGCCAAGAGCATTACTATTTGTGTTCTTTCCATAATTATCTTGGTTCACTTTGGGATTCCCAATTTTTGGTCTGAGTCATTTTCTCTTTAAGGAAAATGGAGTTAGGTGTAGTACTTGAGCGGCTTGGCTTCATTTGCACAACTGGCGGTAAGGAAAAATAGAGCTTTTCTTGCCTTTCAAAATAGATCTCCCAGAGGGCTTTTTCCTAGTTTTTTTCTTCAGTAGTTTCTCAAACAACATTTGAGTCTACACTTTGCAAGCTACTTGAGTTATATTTTTGTTCCCTGTATTTTCATGTTATTTCAGTGTGTTCTATACCCTGATTTGTAAACCTGTTATTTCTGTTACTAAAATAACTTTGTTTTCCTCTGGTTTCATCTGCTGTTTCAGTATCACCATGCTGTTTCTCCGTATTCTTCATCATTTTGCTGAATAGAAACAGTAATGCAAATAATTAGAAGTGCTGAATACGATACGTTTCCGCACTTAAGTGAGATCTTGTCTTTGGTACCGAATGTTGATGAAAGAGGTTTTTTTTTTACCTGGCTGTAGCGCAGACACCACGCTCACCCCAATCCCACAGAAGAAAAGAAAAACAGCGGAGAACAGTTTCCATCTAGGCCACTCCTGTTCTGTCCTGTCTCCCCCCTCCTGCCCCCCCCC